TCAGTGATCTTCCTCTCTCTAGGGTCCCAGGGTGGGTGGGCTGCAGGGCCAGCTAACCTGTAGGTGGCGCCAGCTCTGATTCCTGTGGCTTCCAGGMGTGTGCTCTCTGATGACAGATTGACAGGCTTGGTCATTTGGCTTATTCCTAGTAAACAGTGAAAATGGACATAGAAAGTACAGAAATCTGCAGTCGTCCTATGGCGTCTAGATAAATGGAATTAGTGACCAGAGCTAAGCCTGATAATTTTCTGTTAAAATATATGAGATACTAATGGAAACAATTATTCCACACATGTGGAGATTGCCATCACCAGTGGAGCAAGGAGACGCCTCTGTGAGTCATTTTAAGCTGAGCACGGAGCAGCAGGGCCAGAACCTGACAAGGAAAGTGGGGGTCAGTGCACAGACCAGCCACCAGACTCTGAAGGATAGACATGGAGCACTGGCCAGCCCCTCAGCAGCAGGCAGGAGGGCAGCCTGGAAGCACCAGCTCCAGCACAGCTTTCCCAGCTAAGGTGCTGGACCAAGTCCAACATTATAAATCTAGAGATCAGYGGACGCACTTAGCCTGGTTGAATGGAGCTTTCTTCAGCTGAGGATGGGTGCAGAACACCAGGGCACCTGTCAGGGGCGCCTGGAAGGCCACTGTCACTGTCACCACCTTTGTCCAGCACCTTTGTCAAGGAGCAAGGGGAAAGAAAAGTGGACAGCATAGGTGTAAGAGTGTAGAAATKAGTTCACAGGTGATGATCATCAGTTGAGGAGCCAACAGAACTTCGGGGTTGGAGGTGCGGCTGGGCATGGTCATCACATAGACGACAACGGGCAGAAAACACGTCTTTACCTACATGCACAGGTGACAGCAGAAGTGAAACTTCAGAAAATTCACAACGCATCAAACCGGTCACGTTCCTAGTTCTACCTCTAATAAGGATCTTAAGGTTTGGGGGCATAATTGTTTTTTTTTTTTTTTTTTTTTTTGACAGTCAACAGGGCTAAATAAATGAATAAAAATTAATTAAAAAAATCAAAGACATTTACTAATAATCAAAATCCAAACAAGGGTCATTTGGGGGCAGGGCCAGTGGGAGACAAAGGACAAGTGCAGCAACCACATACTGGAGGGGCCAGAAAGGCACTGAGAGGCTGTGAGGTGGACAGGACACTTCCRTACAGGCCAGGGGTCAAGACAGAGCCACTGCTTGGCACTCAGAACCAGGCCTACCATCGCCAGCCCTCTCCTGTTTCTTTCTGCCTTGTGTTTGTGTGAGAGGTAGAGAAAGATGTTTTCATAGTGACTGGACCATTTGAATGMGTGGAAAGATGGAATGACACTGGGTGTGGTCCACATGTTCCAGGGGGTCAGGGCTTCATGAGCTGAAGCCACAGACACCTTGTGTGTCACACAGTTGATGGAGACGTGGGGGGCAGGTGCCTACCCAACTCTATCCCTAACCCTGGGGCAAGAGAGAGTTATTTGAATGCAACATAATTGAATCCATGGCTCCTAGGAAGATACCTGTGAGACAGAACAGGGCACGGAGGCCATGAGAAATCACAAAATAAATAAGAGCCAACTCTCTACCACCCCCACACATGAGCACCTCCAATGAAGACAGAAGGGCTACATGATAAGTGGGCAGAAGATTTGAGCAGACACCTAAAGCACCAGTAACTGTCACAGGTGCTYGGCTTTGTGCAGCCTCAGTGGGTACAGGAGCCACGGTGGCCTAGGCTCCCTGAGGAGCAGCCCACAGTTCAGAGCAGGCAGCAGTTGGGCCCTCCCAGGACCTGCCAAGAGACACACACCCAGCATGGTCCTGGGGAGACTCTTCCTTGTCACTGAGGGGCAGGTGCAGCATCAGGCTCTGTAGTTCCTCCCTGGAGGACTCTGTGCTGGGGCCTGTCACAGTGTTCCCACCTGGAACAGCCCCATGCAGCAGAGGCAGGCTGTGTCACACACTGTGGTCCCTTGTGCTAAGGGTGCTGGGCTTCTCCAGGGCACGAGCTAGTGTGGCCTGCAGAAGGTTCTGTCTTCAACTGTCCAGCCAGAGGTCCTTCCCCAGGTGGCTTCCTGCCATAGACAGAGTCCCTGACCTGTGT